ATGAACATCAAGTACAAATCCTTGTGTAAACATATGTTTTCATTTCTCTTGGGTAAATCCCTAAGGAGTGTTGGATTTACTGCGCCACATGTAAGTATATTTATTTTTTAAAGAAACTGGCAAACTGTTTTAGTGGCTATACCGTTTTGCACTTCCCCTAACAATGTGTGAGACATCCAGTTGCTTCATATTCTTGCTGATATAGTTGGTATAGTCAGTTAAAAAAAAAATTTCAGCCTTCCTAGTGGGTGTGTAGTATTATCTCATTGTGGTTTTGACATTTGCCTAATGACTAATGATGTTGTCCATCTTTTCCTGTGCTTAACGACACACTTGTATATCTTCTTTGGTCTGAGATGGCACAGGGCCCTGGGGCCCCTGGGTCCACAGGGCCTTTCACCTCCCCAAGGCAGCCGGGAGGTGGCTTGACCTCTTCTGGAAGGAAAGAGAGGCTGTGGGGAGCCCGGCCTCCTGGGGTGTGGGGAGGGCGCTTTGGGCAGTGACACCGAAGCTCAGGTGGGAGGGAGGGTGTGAGAAGTGAGTCCCAGGCCATGAACAGCAGGTACAGAGTGATCGAGATGAAGTCCCAAGCGATGGACAGCAGGTACAAAGTCATCGAGATGAAGGATCTTGGTGCATTTGAAGAACTAAGGGCAGGACCCTGCAACTGAGGCTTGGAGTGGGGGGTGGGAGGGGTTTCTTAGAAAATTAAGACTAAAGTGTAGGTTTCCTCTCTAGCAGTGTAGATCAGTGCAGTGTCTGGAGTCTGACGGAGTTCAAATTCTGACTCTGCCACTCTATGAGCAGCAATTTTCTTAATTTCTCTGAGCTTCTTTTGCTTTTTAAGAAATGTTTTTGAGACAGGGTCTCTGTCACCCAGACTGGAATGCAGTGGTGTGATCATAGTTCACTGCAGCCTCGACCTCCTGGGCTCAAATGATCTTCCCGCCTCAGCCTCCTGAGTGGCTGGGACCACAGGCACACACCGTCACAAGCACTAAGTTTTTATATTTTTCTTGGAGGCAAAGTCTCACTTTCTTCCCCAGGATGATCTCGAACTTCTGGGCCAAGCAATCCTCCCACCCTAGTCTTCCAGAGTGCTGGGATTACAGGTGTGAGCCACCTTACCTGGCCTGTTGTTTTTTTTTTTTAATGGGATTGATATGGTTTTTATCAAGATTTAACAAACAACCCCTACTACACAGAAAGCTCTTAGCACAGTTTCTGGTTTATAGAAGTAACCAAAAAGGTTAAATGATTATTCATTATTGTATGGCTTATGCATAGCTTTTATTTCCTTGTTGATAGTGTAGTTTTATATAGTAAATGTGGTAGGATCATTAATATTCTCCAATAACATCTATTCTTTCATGGAACTAATTGCTAAGTTTGTTAGTTGTCTGACTAAGTACAATTTTTTGAAGAGTGAGTATTTTCTGTTACTTTAGAACACTGTGTTCTTAACATAAAGTACACAGTGGTCCTCAGAAGATCTTTTGAAATCCCTGATCCTGTATGGAAAGTACTGGGTGTGTATGACTATAGATATCTTCCGGTTCCAAAAACTACTACTCCGAAGGTTAGGAACTGCTGCTTTAAACGGTGTTTTCAAGTACATTGCAGCGTGGGCCTGCAGATGCTGTGTAACTCTCTGTGGGATTGGGGCTGCCTGTTCTTTCTGGGCTCCGAAGTACATTGAGAGTAGCTCGTACACAGTGACTGTGGTGATTGGGCTTGGCTGTGACCTGGTATGGACCTGCTCGTCCAGGGCAGCTAACATGCAGAGAAATGGCATATTTGATTATATCATGCATATTTTTTCTATAACTATAATTCTTTATTAAAATACTCTGAGTAGCTGTTATACAGTGTAAAATTTTAATAAGCTCATATTATTAGACTAAAAGAATTAGTTGAGGAAAAATGTGGTTCATGTTCAAAGAAAACTAAGTACCTAGGCACAAAGTTGTCATCTCTGTATTGAACTCTTTTCCATTACTGCCTGCATCGACTTGGTTTTTCTACCTTTCTGGTAGGACTCCTGTACTTTTTCACACCAGGGCTACTCACCCAGCTGTCTAGTTTTCAGGACGAGGGGTAGGAGTGTTCCATTTCCACCTCTAGAGCAGGTGCCGATTAATCTTTCTGGAACTAACTATTGAGGCTGTTCTTTTGCCAAAACTAGCCCTAGGGAAGTCCTCGGAAGCCTATTTCTTTATCTTTATTTTCCTAGCTCAGTAATGGAAAGACGAGGTGGGGGAGTGGGAGAGTGGAGGGCCCTGCCAGGTGTAATTCTCCTTGCTGGGCACAAACTCTGCCAGGCTGTCTTTGAAATAGCAAGAGTCCTGTTGATAATTACCTCTCAACTCTAGGCAGTTCCCTGCCTGCCTTATCCTTTCAGTGATGCCCTCATTTCTAGTAGGAATGGAAGGAGAATATGACTCTGCTTAATAGAAAAAGTTGGTCATAGCAGGGATTCTTCAAAAAAGATGGTTACATCTCTTATTTTTTGAGACAGAATCTTGCTCTGTTGCCCAGGCTGGAGTACAGTGGCGTGATCTTGGATCACTGCAACCTCCACCTCCCAGGTTCAAGTGATTCTCCTGCCTCAGCCTCCTGAGTAGCTGGGATTACAGGCCTGTGCCACCATGCTGGCTAATTTTTGTATTTTAGTAGAGACAGGGCTTTACCATGTTGGCCATGCTGGTCTTGAACACCTGGCCTCAAGTGATCCACCCACCTCAGTCTCCTAAAGTGCTGGGATTATAGGTGTGAGCCACTGCACCTGGCCAAGTTGGCTACATTTCTAAAACTTCTCATTTTAATTGAAGAATGCATATTCATAGACTGACCATGGGATCTGAGCCAAGACCTTGCCTTGCTTGACATATGGACTCTGTCCCTTTGTCCGTAGATCACACCCGTAAGGCCTTGTCTACATTTCCATGCTCAGTATCTTATGTAGTGTCAGAACACTTGTATGTCAGGCGATGCAAATGTAAACCCTTGTCATTTTTTACAGTATATTTACAGTATTTTCCACTTGTTTTATTTACTCCTAATTTGATAGCTATGTTTTAATAACCCATTTTTATTGAATCTTTCTGAAGAATTCAAACTAACATTCAGAAATAACAGCACAGGACATGACTCTTAGTAAGCAGATAACTCATGGTGGGAATAGTTGTGCATGAGCCTCCTTCTGGTTAGAGCAAATTAGATGAGTGACTGAGGGAAAGTTGCCTCACTTCTCTAGGTATTGGTTTGCTCATCAGTAAAATGAGGATAAGAATAGTTCTTACTTGGTTGAGTTGATGTGGGAATTGAATCACATGTGAAACCTACTTCCCTGTCCCTGGCCTATTATAAGAGCTCAAAAAAATGTAGCCATTATTTTTATTTTTAACATCATCCCTACAACTCCCCTTACTACTGTTATTCCTAGAGAGTAGCCCCTTCAATATGAGTGTTCATTGTGCCCTGGGATTAGTCAGTGTGTTTTATAGAGTGGATAAAAAAATTAAGTTAATTCAGTGGTTGGTTAAGAGCTTCCACTGTTTTGTTGGAGACCATACTTGGTAAAATGCATAGTCTTAAAGTGAATTTACTCATTAGGTGTTTAATAATGTGCTGGGGCATATAGTAGATGCTCATGAAGCAAATTCACTTTAAGACTATGCATTTTACCAAGCCTATGTGCTAGGCTTGGAGAATCCAACAATAACGACACAGTTCTGCCCTCAGGAGTGTCTATAGTGTAAGGGCTTCTTGCGGATAAACAGTGAACATCATGTTGCAGGAGGTTGGCACAGGTTGCCGTCACCAGGAGCACTTGAGGTGTGAGGAGAGTGGGCGGGCAAGGCATTCTAAAGAGGCTTCACCCTAGCTGAGACTTTAAGGCCAAATGGGAGAGATAGGGAACAGCATCTTCAGAACGCTGTCAGGGTGTGAAGCATGGAGTACGTAAGGGAGGTGAATAATGTCAAGGTCGGCCAGATCCTGCAAGTCTTCCCATGCACGGACCCACTTACTCCTGCATCCTTATAGTGCAAGGGAGGGGGTCTCATCCCCACCCTCATGATGAGAACATGGAAGTATAGACAGGTGAAGTGACAAACTCTGGCCACACAGCAGCAAGTAGTAGTTGTGAGATTCATCCCATTCCAGTTGTGTTTGGCTCCAGAGCCCATGAATTCAGCTACGCCATTGCACAGGAGGGAAAAGAGCAGGTTTAAAGAGAAAGAGGGGCTGGGCACGGTGGCTCATGCTTGTAATCCCAGCACTTTGGGAGGCCAAGGCAGGTAGATCACTTGAGATCAGGAGTTTGAGACCAGCCTGGCCAACATGATAAAACCCTGTCTCTACTAAAAATACAAGAAGTTAGCTGGGTGTGGTGGCGCACCCCTGTAATCCCAGGCACTGAGGGAGACTAAGGCAAGAAGATCACTTGAACCCTGGAGATGGAGTTTGCAGTGAGCCGAGATTGTACCACTGCACTCCAGCCTG